CTCTCACATTAGAGGATGGTGGGACAGCCCAGTCTAGGAACTCTGTACAGGTTCCCCCTTGAAGGGGTGGACGACTTCTGTCTTTTGATAAAAACCTTATAACTCAGTTTAAAATTGTTAACTATATGTGGGAAAGACAGCTCAGCATAGTTGTTAATAGTGTGAGTTCTGGAGCCAAAATTTGTGTCAAGAGTTCAAATCTGAGCTTCACTGTGTGATCCTGAGCAAGTTATTTCCTCGTAAGGTAATTCTAAGTGTGAAGCTAACACATGAGACTCTCACAACAAATTTAGCACGTCATATACATTATATGTTACATCTGTTTTTTAAATATATATTTTATTTATTACGCTATTTCAGTTGCCCCATTTTTTTTCTTCCTTTAATTCCCCTCTACCTGGCACCTCCCCTCAACATTCTCCCCCTCCCCTAGTTCATGTCCAGGAGTTGTACATACAAGTTCTTTGGCTTCTCCATTTCCTATACTATTCTTAACCTCCCCCTGCCTATTTTGTACTTATTATTTATGCTCCTTATTCCGTGTACCTTTCCCTCCATTCTTCTCCCTCCCCTCTGATCTACATTTCTGTGATTCTGTTCCTGTTCTAGTTGTTGGCTTAGTTTGTTTTTGTTTTTGTTTTTTGTTTTAGGTTCAGTTGTTGATAGCTGTGAGTTTGTTGTCATTTTACTGTTCATAGTTTTTTTTTATCTTTTTCTTAGATAAGTCCCTTTAACATTTCATATAATAAGGGCTTGGTGATGATGAACTCCTTTCACTTGACCTTATCTGGGAAGCACTTTATTTGCTCTTCCATTCTAAATGACAGCGTTGCTGGATAGAGGAATCTTGGATGTAGGTCCTTGTCTTTCATGACTTTGAGTACCTCTTGTCAGCCTCTTCTTGCCTGCAAGGTTTCTTTTGAGAAATCAGCTGAGAGTCTTATGGGAACTCCTTTGTAGGTAACTGTCTCCTTTTCTCTTGCTGCTTTCAAGATTCTCTCCTTATCTTTAATTTTGGGTAATATAATTATGATGTGCCTTGGTGTGTGCTTCCTTGAGTGCAACTTCTGTGGGACTCTCTGAGCTTCCTGGATCTCCTGGAAGTCTTATTTCCTTGGCCAGACTGGGAAAGTTCTCCATTATTTTTTCAAATAAGTTTTTAATTTCTCGTTCTTCCTTTTATTCTGGCACCGCTGTGATTCAGATGTTGGAATGTTTAAAGTTGTCCCAGATATTCCTAAGTCTCTCCTCATTTTTTTGAATTCTTGTTTCTTCATTCTGTTCTGGTTGAATGTTTCTCTCTTTCTTCTGCTCCAGATCATTGATTTGAGTCCCAGTTCCTTCCCTTCACTGCTGGTTCTCTGCATATTTTTCTTTATTTCACTTTGCATAACCTTCACTTTTTCCTCCATTTTGCGACCATACTCAACCTTCAAGCATCCAGATTACCAGTGTTTTGAACTCTGCATCTGATAGGTTGGCTTTCTGTTTATCACTTAGTTCTCTCTTTGGAGCTTTGATCTCTTCTTTCATTTGGGCCATATTTCTTTCTTAGTGCACCTGTTACCTTAGAAGGCGCAGAGCCTTAGATATTCGCCAAGGTGGGACAATCCAGGGCCCTGTGTTGTGACGCTGTATGTAGGGGAGGGGTCCGAGAGGGAACAATGCCGCTTGCTTGGCGCTCAGCTGGCGTTCAGTCACTTTGCCTGCTACCCACAAGCAAATTTGGCCCTTCTGGTGCTGATTCCCGGGTGGGTGGGTTTGTGTACATTCTAGGACCGTATGGGTCTCTCCAACAGACTCTCCTGTGAGGCTGGGAGTTCTCCTTCCACCACTATTCCCGTAGGTTTTTACCTACAGAGGTTTTGAGTCTTTCTTTTCTCACACTGGAACCCTGGATTGCGTGGCCCGTCTTGCCTCGCCCCCCCCAGCCCCCAGCTGTTCCTCCCGATTTATCCGCACGCAAATGTGGAACTGCCTGGTCTGCCAGCCACCTCCTTGCCTGCCCGGTCCTCCAGCTGCTGCCTTGCCACATGTCCCCTCCGCCTCGGTTGCCTGTCTCTGCCCCTCCTACCGGTCTGGAGGAATGTTTCTTCTTTAGCTCCTTGGTTGTTGGACTTACATGTAGTTCAGTTTTCTGGCAGTTCTGGTTATTTTTTGTTTTTAAATTTGTTGTCCTTTCGGTTGTGTGAGGGGGCAAAGTGTACCTACCTACCCTTCCATTTCAGATGAGGCAGAGTTCAGACGTGGGATTCAAAAAACTGAATCTCATGTCTCAGTTTTTATATTACTTTGATGTAGTAGCACAAGTTACCTCTTCACAACGTTTAAAATATATGTGAAAACTATATAGAGCAGTAACGAGTCTCACTCATGAGGAATATCTTATATAAAAGGATGGTTACCAGTACTCACCGAGGGCTTGAGCCAGATGTGAGCGAAGTATCACACCTACATAATTACTCTTAATTACACTGTGAAGCAGAGTCGATTCCTATGGAGCTATTGCTTCTCTGGGAGTTTATGGCACTTTGCCTAAGCTTGCAAAGCTAGAAAATTGTGATTCCAGTTCAAACTCTCCTGAACCTCATTCTAGAGACTGACCACAAGGGCTCTTTACACTGCAGCTAGATTTGGACTATGGCTGTCTGGATGTCACCAAGAGGTGTTAGAGTAGGAAGTGACTGTTAACCAGATTTGTGTCCCCTAACTTACACCTGCAGGCCTAAGAGGGATGATATGAACAACCCACGCCTGATTCAGGGCTTATGTCACTAGGTTTAATGACCTACTGTATCTCTGAAGATCAAAACTGTGGAGACTGTTGAGGATAGCAAAGAAAGTTCTGAAAGAACAAGGGCCCTAAGATATTCCAAAATATAAAAGCATCCTACTTAGGGCCATGTGGCAATGAAACAGAATAAGTAAAATAACAATGATAAGGAAAGAGAATCCAGAAGTATATCCATTTGTAAGAATTTATGATCAAGATGGCATTTTGAGACATTAAGGAAAGAGACTACTATTCAATAAATGGTTAGGGGACTTCTGGCTCTCTACCTACAATGTTACTCTATTTTACACTCCCCCAACCCACCCCCATTAAAATTATTCATGGGTTAAAAATCCCTCAGAGTTAAGAATAAACCGAAACTATAAAATGATGTTAAGAAGTCGACCTTCCTAAGCAGTATACAAAATTCAGGTATGATAAAAGATCGACAGTTTCAACTTCATGATAATTAAAGTAGGGAGGGGAATGAACAGCCTGTTGAAGGAGAATTTTGATGTTTTCTAGTCTATATTGTTTGAATTTTATACAATTAGAACTTACTGAGGAGACAACATGGCTTACAGGTGGAAAAAATGGAAAATGTTGGTGAGTAACTTTGTACCATGGTTTTTAATCCATCAATCACCAAGAATTGAGCTCCCTCATGTACTTGGATTATGTGGGGATTGAATAAAAGAGCCATCACTAGCGTATGTCTTCTGTGAGATGGTTGTCCAAGAAGGAAATGTTCTCTTGGGGACAGCTTCCTGGAGGTGGTAGAATTTGAGCTGGGCCTTGGAAAATGGGATTTCAGTGAATGAGAGACAAGAATCTTCCTGGCAAGGGTGGCTGAGGTTGGCAGCCTTGGGTGCCCCAGTCCTCTGCACCTACACTGGGCTGGGCCACCTTAAAGTGAGAGCTCTGCACAGGTCTCCCACCCTGTCAAGAGAACAGTAGTGGAAGAAGTGGTGAGGATAGGTCTGAGTCAGGTTGGAGATGGAATGTCAGGCCTGAGAAGGTCGAAGGTTTGAGAGAATGCTAACTGGGCTGAGGCTATCCTTACTAGCCTTTGAGGTGTGGGTGGGGTGACAGATTTATCCAGGAGACTGATTTGGTTTATGGTTAACATCACAGGATTAAACAGATGCTGGATCAGGCAGGTGGGCAAACCAGGAAGGTGACCACAGCCCTGAGGCAGAGCCACCTCTGATTTCTTGCCACATAGCGGACAAGAGAATCCTCAACAATCCCCTTGGCTCTAACCCTGAGCTCACTAAGCTACTGTCATCCCAGAGTCAAACTCAGCCCAAGACAGAATGCAAAGCATTCTGATCACTTGTCACTGCTTATACAGCAGCACTCTATAAATGGACATAATCAGAGAAACAATTTGGAGCAACGCTTTGTGGAAAAAGACGGCCTGAGTCAGGGAGGTGGCAGTAGGAGTGATAAGAAATCAGGTGGCCATGGTAGGAAGCCCTCAGGATTTCCTGATGGGCTGGAGATGAAAGAAGAGTCACAGATGACTATGCTTTAGGCCTGTGCATTTGGAAGCCAGTAGCCCTCAACTGGGGGCTGCAGATGAGGCAGAGTTCAGTTTTGGGCATGCTTGTGATGTTGGGAGGGAGAGGGTGCTCTGGGCCAGAGATTTAAATGTGGGACAGGTTGGCATATAGACAGTGAGAACACCTGAAGTGGGTGGACAGTGGATAAGTGATGGGTCACACTGGGCTTGGCTCTTAGGTAGCCGCCCCCTGCTGGCTTTCCTGCTTACAGGTCCTCCTCTACCCACATTCCTCCACTCTCCCTATCTCTTAGCTGGGAGGGCCTGGATCAGAGCCTTCTTCCTAAGGAGAAATAAGGGTTCCCTCCCTCCTGACGAAGGATATTCTTTTCAGGTCCTCTTGCAGCATTCTTCCCTTCCCAGCCCCTCACCCTTCCCCAGGGTCTGCCCTGCCTAGGTTGTTACCCACAGACAGGGCCGGTAAAGGAACCTGTGCTGCCTGCCCTGCTCACACTAAAGCACAGTGTGGGGCAGCAAAAATCTTGTCACTGTCACTTTAAGTGTCCTCAGGGAGGGGGCTCATTGCCCTATGTTTAACAGCTGAGGTAGACAGAGGAGGAAGCGGATCTGGTTTGCAGAGAACACAGCCCAGCCGCCCCTGGGCCTCCTCACACATGAAAACTTCCTGCGATGAGAGCGGAAACAGGTGCCATCTCTACCATGAGAGCCCCCAGAGCCTGGGCCAGAAGGGAACCATGGGCAGGCCCCGGGCTCTGGTCCTGCTCTTGGCACTGCTGACACTCTGCATCACTGCTGGTGAGTAGGGGTGGCCGAAGAAAAGCAGAGGCCCTGGGGATGTGATGGAGACTCAGCCTTGAGCCCTTCCTATGTCTGCATCCCACAGGCACACCTGAGGTGTGGGTGCAAGTTCAGATGGAGGCCACCAAGTCCCCGTCCTTCACTATTCGCTGTGGATTGCTGGGATCTAGCTTTATCTCCCAGGTGACTGTGGACTGCAGGGGGCCCAATGGTCCTGGAGGAACCAAGCTGGCTGTGTTGGACTCAGAGTTTGGCACCAAAAAGTGGCCCCCTGCCCACCAAGTCTACTGGGAAACTAGAACCAGCGTCTCCCTCACCCTGGAAGAGTCTGAGGGGAGAAGCCCCAGTCCTAACACCACCTTCTGCTGCAAGTTTACTTCCTTTCCTGAGGGTTCGCAGGAGGCCTGTGGTAACCTCCTCGGCACAGATCAAGGTAGGGCTGATGAGCAGAGCCCAGAGAGGGCAGGGAGGGCAGGGAGAAGCTCAGGACACCAGCCACCAATCTGGTATGTCTCTCTTTGTGTACAGAGCTTCCTGCCCCTAGTGCAGCCCCTATTCTGCGGGCTGACCTGGCCGGGATCTTGGCGATCTCGGGGATCCTCCTCTTGGGCTGCATCTACCTTCTCTACATGCTGCATTGGCAGAAGCACCGGTGAGATCCAGCCCTGGCCAGGCTCAGTTGAAATCCTTACATCACTGGGCTCGCCACATGCTTTGTTTCTGACCCTCCTAACTCTCTCCCAGGTCTGTCATGAAGCTTCAGCCACCCCTTCGCAGTGCCCTGACAGAGTCACAAGCAAGGGTGAGGATCAGGGATGGCGTTGGAGCAGGGAACTCAGTGGGCTGGAGCTGGGGCCATGATGTGGAACCTCACTTGGGCCTTTTCCCCTATTACCCATGCAGGCAGCCAGCCAAACCTCCCTGGCTTCTCTCCACATCCCCTACGCCACTATCGCCACCAGCTACTTCTGCCCAGCAGATCTGGACACGGTCCTCCCACCCCAGCCATTGTCCAGGTGGGCACCGATCCCCACCCACACAGCACACCAGCCTGCCTGCTGGGCACCTCTGCCAGCCTCTGCCTGCAGCAGTTTCATCTCCATTGAGAATGGACTCTATGTTCAGACAGGAGAGAGGCCTCCCCACATCCGTTCCAACTTTATCCCTTTCTCTGACCCTCTGGGGCCCAGAGCCAAGGAGGGACATATAGGAGTTCAACGAGGGGCCCCAAGCCCACTCAGCCTTCCTCCACTCCCAGACCTCTAGGACCCCCTTCCATTGGTGTTCGCACATCTTATTAGGCTGCTAATAAGTGTTTCCGCACCTACCCAGCCAGGGCCCACTTGCTGTGGATGTGGTCAGCATATATGCTCGTGTGAGTTACATGTGGTCATGTGTGTGTATGAGAGGTGACAAAATCCATCCCAGGTTGTTTCCTGTTTTCAAGTCCCCAGCCCTCCCAGGCAATGTTAATAACTAAGTTAATAAAAATGGTTTATTTGACTGAGGTCTTGGCTGAGCCTTTTCTTCTTTGGGAGCTTGAGAGGTTAGAGGTATTTTCAACCCCTGGGAAGCAGGAGCCAGGTTAGAATCAGAAGGGGCAGAGCTTGAGTACAGGAGATCTCTGCTCTGCCCCAGCCCCACCCAGACAAGGGGTTCCTGGGGCTGGGGTGGCCCTGTCAGGCAGGGGACTCCTGCCCTGCAGACCTTGCTGAGGGACACCAGGTGAGATTGACAGGATTGGGGGTCCAATGGCCACAGGCAGGACAGCCCATATTCAAACCCCACCATGTCCTAGGACAGCACAAAGGCTTCTGGGGCTTCACCTTGAAAAAGACCTTGTGGTTTGACCTGGTGTCCCTACAACAGGGCTCCCTGAGATGGCCCGAGGGTGAGCCCTGCTACCCTCCTCCAGAGTTGACACTCAGAGGCAGGGGACCCCCCTCAGATCTTCCCACAGAGGCTTCCTCTTGTCCTCTTCTGTTACTAGGGCACCAGAACTACTCCCCACTGGCCACTGGCAGACAGGCCCACTTGACACAGGGACTGGACACACGTTCCCCTGCCCACTAATCTTTCCATCCAGGATGCAGCTCTCCTATAAATAGACTCAGCAGCATGGGCCTCACCACACCTTTGCCGCAAGAGACAACGTGTGAGAGAGTTCTGTAAGCTGAGAGGCTCCGCAGGAATGTGGCAGATTCCATGGGGTGTGGGGAGGCAATGGAGTTCTGGAGCCAGGCTGAACCTGCACTTCCAACCAGGGTGAATCCTAGTTCATGGGGATACCTGTCACTTGGCCTCTTCCTTGGTCCTACATATGGGAAATCCCAGGCAGTACCAGTTGCTAAGCCAGGAACCGCCCTTTGTCCTCTGCCTGGCTCGGGGAGGGCCTGCCTGGAGGCTGTGTCCAACCACAGAATCTTCTAGCGATCCGGCTTACTATTCCACGCATGCTCAGAAGAGGCCTTCCCAGAACTCAGGCCCATTCAGCCACCAACTCCACACTGCATTGGGGAGAGGGTGGACCAGACAGGGTGAGGGGGTGGCAAAGGGGTTATTCGGCCTGCTTCCCTCAGTCAGTGATCATCTTCCTCCTCCGAGGAGCCCTTGGCACTTGCCTAGCCAGCTCGGTGGTCCCTGCAAGGCTGGGGTTTAAGGGAGAGAGGAGAGGTTTCTCTGGAGGTCCCCAAGAGGGCAAGGGAGATGTCAGTGAGGGAGGGAGTAGCTGAAGGGGCCCAGCCGCCTTGGGACCACGTCGAGACCAGGGGCAGGGGTTTGAGGGGTCAGTGAGGCTTGCAAGGTTTCAGGGGAGGCTTTAGCAGATTTAATTTTCTAGGAAGGAAAGGACAGTTCATGGGACAAGGGGAGCTCTGAGGGATCTCCAGCCCAACTGCCAGCCAGGACACTTGCCTCTAATGGAGTTGAGGGAGAGGTCCTCTGTCCTGAGCTGGTCTTCCACAAACAAGCTGAGGAGGCCACAGCCCAGCCTGGTCTTGGGGGTCCACAGAACCAAAATCCTGGAGACACAGGAGGTCTCTGCATCTGGTCTCCTCCCCATCCCCCATCCCCCACATGCCAGACCCAGCAGTGCTGAAGTGAGCCGCTGAGAGAACCATGCTGTCCTCTGCATTGTGGGTATGTGACTGGACAAGGCCTGGGAAATCAGCAGTTCAGGCCCCCTTCTCAGACCCAGTCTGGGAAATCATGCTCACATTTGTTCAACACTTGTGAAATTGAGGCCTGAAAGAGGACTTGCTCAAAGGGATAGAACAGAATCAGCCCCAGCACATCCACAGACAGGCATCCAGGTTGTGCCCTCAGATATAACTCAAGATAAGCCTTGTGCTTTGAACTGACCCTGGGTTTGAATCCCAAGGGCTACCTACTCCCTGGCTGTGGGACCCAGAGGACCTAACCTTGACAGGTTCACTTTGCTCATCTGGCACATAGTAAGGGTGATAAGTCCTGAATGGAGTGAAGATTGTACAGTAGGACCAAGTACCAAGCAACTCTGCCTGGGGTATCTTATTCAGGACTTACAGCAACCCCAAGGGGTAGTAGGTATTTTCAATAATCTATTTAGCAGATGTGGAGCCTAAGCCCCGGGGTCACAGAACCTGAAGGAAGAGATGCTAATAGTGGTGGGGAGAGGAGGTGTGGGACCACTCCCCTGGTCCTGGACACATTCGCTGCCCAGCTCAACGGCTCTACCCTGAACTCCGCCTGGCTGGGACTGTGCCCAGAGGCCAGGCGGGCTGGCAGCTACCCATGGAGGCCCAGGCGTTCGGGGACCAACAAGATGGCCCTCTGATGACACCCGCCACGGAGGGGCCCAACAGCACGGCTGCCCCTGAGGGTTCCCGGGAGGTACTTCTGCAGAAGATGCCAGTCCTACCCAAGAAAATAGGATCCTCGGAGGCGGTCTGGGGTCGCAGAGAGTTGTGACGGTACCACGACCGTGACCCCCACCCCCTCCGCAGCCTGCCCTTGACCAGCAGCACGCTGGGTAGAACCCGTGACCATTTCCACTGGCTGTTAGCTGCTCCCCCGACCCCAACCTCAATGTCACTGCTGTCCAGCAACAGGTCCCAGAACCTGTCCTCCCTGACCGCCTGTCCCTCAGCAACCCTGGAGCATTCCTTCCACAGATCAGCCCTAGCTACCCTCGGGCTTGTCCCCACCCGCAGCCCCCCACAGCCCTCCTCCCTACCCGCATCCTGCCTCTTCTCCCGGGGAGCTCAATCCCGGCCACTTCGTTTCATCTCCCTTTAGTGCCCTCCCTACCCTGATTTTCCCCCAAAGTCTGTGTGGCCCACTGCTCCTTGTGATCCCTACCATCCCAGCTGCTCTTGGCTCTGAGCCCCCAGCTGCCACCGCCCTGTCCGGACCCCTAGGAGGCCAGTCAAGGCGCCCAGCAGCTGACTTCCCCACCCTCAGGCTCCTCTGGGGACCTGCCAGAAAGAACCCCGAGCCCACATGAAGTGCTGGGACCTGGGCGCCATGACCGCCCATGGGTGTGTGACCTCGGGCTGCCAGTTTGCTGGGGAGCCTCGTACCCTTACCGAATGCTCTGTGGAATGCTGGGCCACGTTGTGATGTAGCCTCCAGCCCCGCAGGGGCGCCCACCGAGCTCGAGCTGATGTGACTAGGAGACTGCAACAGTGAACGGCATGGACCTGGGACCTGGAGAGAAGAAATCAGATGGAGAGGTGTCAGGGCTCAGCCAGCAAGACGCAGGGAGAAGACCCTGGCCAGCATGAGGTGTAGGCTGAAAGGGGCAGAGTTGAGCTCTTAGCTTCTGTCTCTGGACCTTTCCCAGACCCCATGGAGGAGTAACTCCCCACAAAGAAACCACAGACTGTGTCCCCATTTCTAACACAAGGGCACACAAATGCACAAGATACTGTATTAATAGATCAGTTGGCCCAACCATGGGCACTCCAACTTCAAAACTGCTGACACGGCCAGTGACATCTGGAATTCCCATAGCTGGGTCCTCAAATAGTTTCATTTCAGCATCTGTGAAATGAGCCAGCCCACCTGGAAAGCTGGGCTGTTTGGAGAAAAGTAAATAAACATTACACATGTTAAAAGTAAAAGATCAGGGTGCTCTGGGAAGGAATAATGGAACCTCTACAAGTAGATATTTAAAATAAAATCTGAAGGTAAATGGGAGTTGTGTAAGCAACAGTTATGGGGAGACCCTTCCAGGCAGGGAAAGAGGAACCCGTGACCATTTCTACTCGCTGTTACTGAAAAGAGCTGGGCATGCCAGGGCCCAAAGCAGCTCAATATGTTTGAATAAAGTGAGTGAGAGCAGCAGGCAAAGCCTACAGAATGGATCAGGATTTTATTGTAAGGACATTATTATAAAACCCAGGGTGGGTTTTAAGCAGAGCAGTAAAATAATAAGATTTACATTTTTTAAAAAAATACCAATCTGGGTAAAAAAAATCTGTGTGGGAGGCAGGGCATAAAAGTGGAAGTAGGCACAATTGGGAAGCTACTGCAATCATCCAGGTGGGAGACAGGGGCACCCAAGTCAAGAATGGTGGAATATAAATAGAAATGGGTGGATTAAAAATGTTTTGGAGGCCGAGTTGTTCCTCACTGCGGGGAGAGGATCAAGGATGGTCTCAAAGGTGATGCCCCGTATTTCAGCTTGAGTGACTAGGTAGAAGAAATGTCATTCTCTGAGATGGAAGATTGATAGGAGCATGTTCCAGGGAATGGGTGACAATCAAGGAGCCAATAAGAGATAGATTAAGTTGAGATGCTTGAAACACAGACAAGGTGGAGTCATATCGACACTTCCTCAGAGCCCAGGCCTTGTCTTAGGAAGTGGCAAGATCTGTACACAAAATATTGGTGAGAGAAATCAAAAGTTATAGAGAAGTATATCTTATTAATAGATTGGAAGGCTCATTGTTAAGAGGCCAGTTCTCCCCAAATGTACAATATCTACAGAATCAAAGCCTTATTAATTAAATTTCTAGCAGACTTCTTTGTAGAAATTTACCAGCAGATTGTAAAACTTACAGAGAAAAATGAAAGTACCTACTGTAGAAAAACAAAAGAATTTTGGAAAAGAACAAAGTTGGAGAACTCATACTATTGGTTTCAAAACTTATGTAAAGAGTCCTGGCTTGTATGGCTCAGTGGACTGAGTGCTGGCCTATGAACCAAAGGGTTAGCTGCATTGGTTCTCAGTTGGGGCACATGTCTGGGTTGCAGGCCAGGTCCCCAGTAGGGGGCGTGCAAGAGGCAACCACACATTTATGTTTATCTTCCTCTCTTTCTCCATCCCTTCCCCCTCTCTAAAAATAAATGAATAAAATCTTTAAAAAGAAGAAACACTTATATAGAGGTAAAGAATTCCAAAGGTTTGGGGAGATGTAAGCCAAGAAATATAGATGAAGTTCAAATATACCTGGAAAATATATTT